ATTTTGTTGATACAGTGACAGCAAACAGTACGGCAGCACGGGCGGTGTATCAGGAACAATATATATTCACAGTTTCAGCTTAAGGTTTTACAACCATTAACCATGCACTTTTGTGCGCCAGTTTTGGTCGCTGTCTTTTGGCCGCCCATTTGGATAAAAGAGCAGAATGAATATTGGAATGGAAGCAAATTCAATCAGAAGATAAAGAATTCATATATAAATTAGTGTTAAGAGAAGATTGGTTAGATGCATGAGCGCCATATTACTCAGTGTTTCTAACCATCGGTGATCTCGGGGTCACCAATAAAGTAGCCTAACGGGACCTTTGTGACCCAGTTTTCTGGTTAGTGTTTTCATATCCTAACGTAATCTATGGAGGCCGACTACTTGCACTAGTAGACGACTGCGACTACCTAAAACTCTACGCCTCACCTCAACATTTCTCTAACAGTTACCCCACCAGACTCTTGCAATGCGTCGTAGACAGCGGTGTTCAAACACCGACAATCTATTTCTGTTCTGTTCTCGTAATGGCCAAGTCTCTGCATCGTATAGTAGCACTGACCGAACTGCTGCAGCATACACTCGACCATTCACAGGCAGCCGGATGTCGCGACGGCGCCACAGATGTCTCAGGTTCGCAAATGCCAACCGAACCTTTTGTATGGGTGCTGACACTTCATCTGTGATGCGTCCGCCAGGTGAGATATAGCTGCCTGGATAGCAAAATTTGTCTATTTCTTCTGCTACTTCCCCAGTCAGGGTGAGGTTGGGAGCTGGTCCAACCCAATTTTGTAGTAACATTTTACATTTTGAAGGTGTAAAACGCATTTATATTCACAAAGTAAATACAACGAGTTCTGCTGAGAAAGCGCTAAAGAAAGTGCATTTAATTGATAACAAACATTAACCGAGTGTTGTCACACGAGTTTAAGTTGACTACACCACCACTTCTGTTGCGAAACTTCACAGTCCAGTCGCTCCGGAAAATATCAAAGTCAATGTCAGTTTTATTATGGGAATTACTTACAAGCAGTGGCAACCCAGTGATAACGTCATCCAGTTATTACCCTGGGGGGACAGGTGTTCAAATCGACCACCACCGACTGACTTTTTCCATTCTGTGTTATATAAAAGCCCTTTCGTTGGCCGCTTCTCCCTATCTGAAAATTGTATTATGTGCGATGTAAATGTGCGTGATGACCGACAAAGAGCACTGGACCGCTGTTTCATCATGTTTAGGACTCGTTAGCATTTAAATGCATTTAAATACATTTACTTCGTGGGTAATTAACAATCTCTCAAGGAGTGACACCCACATCCCACATCATCAACAGTGCCTGGTGCCTGTGAAAATCCAAATGAGGTTATCCAAATATTCCCCGTCTGTATCGCTATGTAGTTCCATAAAAGGAAGTATAAATGAAAAAAAGGAAAGCTCATGCGTCTGTTGTCTCAATATGAAATATTTACACAATTGAACCGTTTGTCTGCAAAACTAATCAAATGTCACATAGTTCCGGGTAGGAGATAACATCCAATGTGGTCTTCAACTAATCTGCGTTGTTATTTTTTTAGAACTGTGAGATGTGTCAGGGTTTCATCAATTTCCCCTTTGAAAAATCCAACAGTTGGCGCACAAACCACGTGAGATGGAAGAGTGTTCTAAGTATTGCACATTCTGACTACAAACGATTGGCTCCCGCATTTCACTTTGGAATCAATAACTTGTAACGATGTCCCCTAAGGTGTGCATTAAGCGACAACATGAGCAGCGGCCGATATGGATGGTTTGGATTCCGCAGTATCGCCAAAAGTAAGTCTCGAATTCGGCGGTACTGAACAGAATGTAGTCCCAATGATCGTAATCTCTCTTCAGAGGTATGGTAACGCAATCCCTTTACCATCTTGGTGGCAATCATTTGTTGATGCTCCAGCATCTTACAATCACTTTGCAACCATGGAATCCAAGCTTAGGTGACGTACTCTGTATACGGTCGAATGTACACTGATACCAAGCATGGGAACAATGATTAAATTCGACCAAAGACTCGCTTAAAAAAGCCGACATTCTTCACAACAGCGGACGAATCCCCAGTGAAATTGATCGAGAAGCTTGAGTACTCTTGAACAATAATATCCAAGTCTTTCTCACTCGAGGTATGTGGCAGCAGCTGATTTCCGAGGAAATATGAGAATCTACTCCTGTGACGTATGGATAGGACTTTGCATTTGGAAACATTGAATTCAATTTCGTTCTCCGTATACCATTGATAAGTTGCGTTAAGTGTTTCTTGAAGTGATGGCGAGCCCTCAGGTCCCCTTATTGCATTCCAGATTTTGGGGTCATCTGCAAACAATAATGTTTTTGGTCCTAGCTTATTCGGTAGATCATTTATGAATCGAGGAAAAGTCGGCGGCCAAGAACATATCCCTGTGGAACACAGTGGGTAACGTTGATAGAATCGGATAGGGAGTCAGAAACACGAATTGAATGGTCCATTGTCGAAGGAATGCTCTAATCCAATCAAACACGAAACCTTGAATGCCGTAATTGTAGAGCTTTTGTGAAAAATCTGGTGGTTTACCCGATCAAATGCTTTTGAGAATTCCAGACAAATCACCTCCACTTCGTCCCCTTCGTCGACTGTTCTGGTGCATTCATCTCGAAGCAATGTTTTCCCGTCACAAATTTGAATAGAGAAGTCAGAAACATGGGTTTGCACAATGTATCCATGGTCATTTCGCTGCATCTGTACACGTGCATACTGCAGTCAAAGTCATTTCATATAGTCAGTGAGATAACTACCGTGCAATGAAGACATGATTGCTAATCACAACGCACAACGCACGACACAGTAACACAAAGAACGGGAGAGGGTGGGGGTAATCACCAAGGCAAAGCTAAAGTGACTAACCATTCACGTTGTTTGCATAGATCGGGTTTGAGGATACGAATGGCTAGAGCCTCGGCAAATTTCAGTAACTTTGTGTTTGTTGTGTTGTAGATGACCTGAAATGCGTGGGGTGGGGTGACACAATGTTTTTGTTCGAACAAATTCATCTCGAACAAGCAGCAGGTTAGTGGAACATGATCGCTTTTGCCTGAAACCATGTTGAGCCATCGAAAGAATGTTGTGTCTTTCTGTGTTCCATCAGTGAATTTGCCACAATTAGCTGCATGGCTTTCGATAACGCTGGTAGTAGGTTTGCAGGTCGGTAGTTGGCGAGGTCACTAAGACAACAAGCTTTGCATGTGGGTGAAATAACTGCTTGTTTTCACGGCTATGGGAATGTTTTGGTCTATCATCCATTGGAATAGAATGCTTAGTGGTTCGGACGTGTTTCACCAAAAAGATAAGGGATTTTGGGTGTATATTATCCACACCCGGGGTTGCATATTTTCACAAAGCCATTGGTTTTGCTTTGACGTTTTCAGCGGTAAATGTTACGTTGGTCAGCGAAGGATATGTAAGATGATCTGACCGGCGAGGGACCTGCGGACCAGCAAATTGTGATGCGGCAAAATCCGTCGTCTCCAAAGATATAATTCTCACTGTCTGAGTGTAACGAACTTCCAGGAGTAAAATAACCCAACATCTTAAAATTGTTTCTGATGCACCAGATTCTTCACTTCATCGATTTTCCTTACAATCCAGCAAATTTTACTTAAAAATTTGACGTAATCATTATTCTGCTGGTGAAACTTTGTCTCTGCTCAACCCACCAGAGTGATTTTAATTATGGTAACTGTGACTCCGATTTCTTAACCGTCTGTAGTGATTCCTCATAGAATTAGAAAAAAACGAAATTCGGACGTCCGACAGGAAAACACTAAGATATTTCACAGTGGAGGAGATATTGGACAATTTTTGACCTTGAGAGGTTATTAGATCGATGTAAAAGTAAATCGAGAATCTTCAATGCAAATTCATAAAATTAATCCAAGTTGGCAAAGGAACGGCTAAATTCGAAAGCTACGCGATTGAGCAAAAGCGCGTTTACCGAGCATCGGTGTTTACTTTTATATGATGAGTTACTTTCATCTTAAGCAAAAGAGATTCAACATCGCAGAAAATAATGAACGTACAGGTATGTCTGTATTAATCAAGTTTACTTCAATCGCTACAGAGAATATCCACTATTTTTGTGGATTTATGACAATGATCTCCCACGAATTGTCCCGTATTATAACCAAAATTATTTGTCAAAACCGGTTGAATAAATTTTTGTCTGATAAATTCTATTAAAAAACCACTTTTTTGTTACCTCTTACATCACGCGACTTACCTTGGTGTGTCCGTCGTAGATTTGATGTCACGTGTAACAACCGCATGCGAATAACATCGCGTGCACCGAAAATCGATTTGAGTTATTTAAAAGCTCTCCTGTTCCGTGCGTGACTAAAACGGTTCCGTGCCCTAGACCGATGAACTAGTTTGGTCTTAGTCGCTCCATGAATACCTGTGATGACGCGGATCTTTAAGAATGGGTAATAGAACGTCTCATACCCGTTTCGCGACCGGCCGGTATTCCGAACGCGGTTTCTCGCGTCTCGATGCCGATGCATGGGAGCAAAGATTCAGCCAACGTCGGCCGGGAAGTGTGCAAGCCTATCTACAACCGCCATCAACCACGCTTAGCGAATACCTAAAATTACATTCAGCCAAATATCGCGCTACTGGCGATCCAGAAGCAGAAGAAACAATAGTTGTCTCGTCATTTGACGATCCGTATCCACAAACACGAGATTTTGCCAAATTCCATCCAGGTTCTCCGTATCGTATGACTCCTGGAACAATTTTAGACA